GGGTTGGAAGGGACCTTTAAAGGTCATACAATAGGGAATTAAATCTTGGATCTAGGAATTCATCTGATGCCTCCAATACTGTCCCACAGTTAGCCTTTGGTATATGCAAGGGTTAAATGCTTTTCTGAGGTAGTGCATTTGGAATTGCTGGCTTAAATTAAACCAGACCTCTATGGTGCATCATTTTACTATGAAATTAAGTGTGAAATCTGTACTCCTTGCTCTGCCCATTGACTATATATTTCATCTGGAGTGACTTCAGGTAAAACAATTTTGAAAGTTGTTCTGGGTACTGTGGGGTTTCCTCTCCTTAACCACATGGAGTTATGGCGGGTTCCCTCTGCATCTTCTGATTGATTTTTCTGGCTGTGGGAGAAGGAGCCTTGACCACAAAGGCAGGACCATGTAGACTCTCCTGCAGTAACTTCAGTTGAGTGTATTACACCCCCAGTTCCACCTAAAGCAAGAGAAATGAAAAACATCAACAGTGGCTTGGATACAAGAACATGGAGGGATACAACAAAATTAAGAGCAGATTCACATCCTATATTTCTTGTTGTTGTCTTACCGTAATTTTAGTGGAATTAATAAAGTTTGCCCTATTTTCACTGCCTTCTTTTCTTTTCCACTGGTGTTATCAGGACAAGCTAGTCTTATTTAAGTACTTTTCATCATAAAGGAATCTGTCATGTGCTGTATTGGGTTTTGCAATAGCTCTCGACTCATATCTCTCTTTCTCAGCGTGCAAAGATAAAGATTATCCTGGGAATACCAAAGTTCCAATAGACATCTAACTGACATAGCTTTAGGGTTTGGGTTTTCCTACAACCTGAGGATGATTTTGTGTTCTGAGGGAGAGGACGAGTGCTTCTGAGAGGAGTGCCAGTCTGCGTTACTCCTGTCCCATTCCCACATCTCGTCTAACCATACTTTATACTAATCTATGTCTCATGACTATCTATTCTATTTCCTTTTCGGCAAAAGGCAACTTCACTGTAATGATGTGAGTTAAGGATGGAATTTACGCCTTAGCAAGATATCGAAACTATAACATTCTCTTCAAGTACTAACTCAAGTAAGGTGCTAATATAACACTTATTGTGCATATGTTGCAGTTGGCGTGGACACCTTTTCTGGCTGCGTTCAGTGTGGGTCTGCAGGACTGTGATGACACCGAAGTTGCCTCTCTTTGTTTAGAGGGTATACGATGTGCAATCCGGATTGCTTGCATTTTCAACATTCAGGTAAAAAAAACCAAAACGTAAGATTGAGACAATACTTTGATTTATGTACCAGCAAAATATTAATGGGGTTCTAAGAGTCCTTGTTGCTGAAGTTGTTGCAACCTAGAGGCTGCCTCCTTCTGCTATTACTACTTCATCTAATATTTGACTGGAAGTGTAAACAAAGTTACCTTTCTTTTTTCCTGGTGTTTTATCCTAAGTTCTTCCATGCCTGTGTACTGAATTTTTGTTTCCATATCGGTTGACTACTTTTAAGTCTAAGTACTTTCTTTTTAGCTTTCTTTCTAGTTACAAGCTGTTTAGCTTTGTTGTGGTGCTTCCTAAAATGAGTCTTTCTCTTGTGTTTCACAAGTAAAATAATATCTCTGTGAACTCTATTTGAGGTATTCTTCTCAGCTCCAGAGAGATTATACTAATACAAGACTTTTGTAATCGGATGCCATTTTAACAGCTATGGCATTGGTAATGTCATTCCTGATGTGATGCATGAGTGTATCTTGCATTAAGCACCATGCCAAGAATTCCAGACTCTCTGGCTCCAGAGGGTAGTTCTGATTAAATTTGGGCTTTTTTTGGCTTTATTTTTTTCCATTTAAAAATCCTTGGTATTGAAGGTACAATTATGTTATTGTAGATAATTAGTTACTAAATGGAATAGTGGCCTACAATAAGTCTGTCATAGGAATGAGCTGAAGAGAGGGACAAGCAAAATTCATGTTTGATATTGCATTATTTCATGTGTTCAACAAAAACATATGTAAAAAACAAACAAACAAACAAACAAACAACAACCCTGCTTCCTTCCTTCCTTCCTTCCTTTCTTCTCCCCTTGCACTTGTATTTGGCAAATTATTTAACTTTTTATCACCAGTGGGAAAAGTCACATTGAGACCTCTTATACAGCTGGTTTAGAAAGCCCATTTGAGATCGTGGTGAAAGGTTTCCTTCCTCTGTCTTTCCACTTAATTTCTGCATTACCACCACCTGCCTCCAAACTGAATAGATGTAAAAATTTGATAAAACAAAGCCTTCCCTGGAGCCTGCAGCTGGTCAGTGAAATTCACATTCCTGTTATTTTTGTTTCTAAGCTGCAAAAGTGAAACTGGTTACAAGTATCAGTTTCAGCAGCTGCAGAGTTTAGCTCCCAGTCCTGCTGTTGTCTGCCTTGCATATGGGGAGCGCAAGGACATGCTTGCTACACTCAAAGCTCCAGTGTATGTTCCAGTCACACCCTTCAATTGGCTTGGGACAAACTTGCCTGAACTGGAGGTGTTCCAAAACCAAGTTTTTAAATTTCAGACAAGGAGAAGTGTTGCTTTTGAATTTTCTGTATAAATGATATTCCTTCTTTGTTTCCTATGGGAATTCTGCTTTGGGATATTTTCACTATGCTTTGGAAATTCAGTTCTAGGAAGAGAAAGGTAAATGGTATAGTTGATGAAACCACACAGACTGTACTAAGATCAAGAAACAGAAAAAATACTTAAAAGAATTTTGGTTTTTTCCCCTCCCATTTGTAGCTTGAAAGAGATGCCTATGTTCAAGCATTAGCAAGATTTACATTACTTACAGTGAGTTCTGGTATTACTGAAATGAAGCAGAAGAATATTGACACCATTAAAACTCTCATCACGGTGGCTCATACAGATGGAAACTATTTAGGAAATTCCTGGCATGAGGTAAAAATCATTTGTATCTAAATTGTAAGAAAGCACGTTTACTGATTTTTGAACACAGTGGTGTACTTCTTTGTGCACCAATACAGTGGGTTTTAGATAAGTACCAAGTATATACTTTTGTGCATACATTATGCAGCCAATAAAGTAGCAGAATATCTCTAAATTAATATTCGTTTTAGACAGAAGAACAGAAATACTTCTCTGACCTTGAGTGTTTAGAATTTTTTTCTTTTGAAGATTTTTATTTATCTATTTTTTGCTATTTAAAACTGCTTTTTGTTGATAAACATCTTTGTTATTCTCTGGAATAGATTCTGAAATGCATCAGTCAGCTTGAACTGGCACAGTTAATAGGAACTGGAGTAAAACCTCGCTACATCTCAGGGACAGTGCGTGGCAGGGAAGGTTCTTTTACTGGAACAAAAGATCAGGCACCCGATGAATTTGTGGGGCTGGGACTGGGTAAGTAATGCAGATATGAGGTATTTCATTTAACTGGCTTTGTTCACAGATATTCAGGTTTGTCCTTTGTTTTCATTCTTGTTGACTGTGAGATTCAGACAGAAGACCATAAAGTAGTCCTCATAAAACTCTGAGGCTTTTAATAGATCTGTTTCAATTTCTGGAATATTTGGTTTGCTCTGTTAAATGTTATTGCCAGGGTGGGAGAGTGGGAAATGGGAGAAAATTATATATTATTCATTTTTATTAAAATACAGGTGACTAAGTTAGAATGGATCACAGATGGTATGACCAGATTTAATAATATTGCAACATTGGTGCATCAAGTATTTTACCAAACAAGCAAGTTAGTATGTGTAGGTTAAGCATCTGTTGTGAAGCTTTGTGAGAAATATGTAGAATTCAAACCAAGTGGGAGATTAATTTAGCTTAAATTCTGAGATGCCGTTTATTTTCTCTCTTGGTTACTTTGGTACTGAGTAAGTGCCTTTTTTAGGTTGACTTGAGCACCAAAATTTACTCCATAAATGAGATGCTGTTTATTATCCTTGTAGAAATGTATAGTGGTCTTACCTTAAATTATCTTAAAAACAGAGGGTTTTTTTCTTGTGAGGTTGTTGTTTGTTTGTTTTTTAAAAAGGGAACACAGTTAAAGATACAGAGGTGTAGTGTATTAGGAAACTCAATATCAAAGTGAATATGTATAAATGTATTTGACTGTTAAAAAGTTTCAGTTTGTGTGGTGCTTAGTATCTCCTGTCTTTCTGAACTTCACCCACAGCCAAGCAAAAGCCTTGTCTTCCCTTGAATTTTTTTTTTTGTGTCACTTTTTTAGTAGTAATGATTATTTTTCTGTTTTCCCTGATCTTAGCCCCCCAGATTAGTCCTAATCATCCAGCTTTATTTTCTCCTCAGACAGTTTTTTCTTCTGCAGTCAGTCTTTTTCTTTCCCTTCTGCTTTCCTTTGGCCTGCCTCTGTGTACTCACCTTGCCAAGAGCTGATGAAGGGAAAACTTATGCCTGGAAATTAAAGAGTCTGCCAGCATCTCATATACTGAGCTTCTTCTGCCCTTCCAATATGCATCCTCCAGTTTAGTGTTCCCTGGTGACCTATCCAACTTCGCTCTTTCCAAGTGCTGGCAGTTTCTCTACACTGAAGTGATTGGCCTCTAAAGGTTTTAAGTCCTAATAGCTCAAGAATGTAAACTGTAGTCAGGTGTCTCTAAATCATCCTTGCTTTCATTGGTGTAAATCCAGCTCATAAAGGCTTTTTACTGCAGTCAACTGCATTTTTAAGGAAAATAGTTTATGCCCAAATGCATGAAGTGTTTCTCTCTGAATTGAATTTCTGGAATGCTTATTACAGTGCACATATGGAAATGTGACTTCTTTTTTTTATAATAGTGCTTCAATCTTTTAGGAAAATGCCTAACTTATAGGAATTTGGTTTTCTTGCACTTCAGGTCTATTTAAAACATTTTTTCAACTGTTTTAGTTCTTTCCACACCTTTCTGTAAATCGTGTTTTGCAGATAGTTTAATTTCCTATGATCACTCTAAAGTATCCTTTGGAACTATGGGTTTCAAGCAACCTTTCTCTAAACCCTAATTCCTGTGAAGAACACATAGTGCATACGTCCATATGTAAAGACGCATTTTACAGAAAAATTAAATTAGAGTTTAATTAGAGTCAGTGAGGTTTCAGTCTGGTGACACAGAAGTTTCGTCTTTCAAGCCTGCTTGCAAACTCAAACATGGATAAACAGCAGCCTTCACTCCAAAAAGCAACAGAACCAACCCCAAAAGCTCCTTTGCTCATTTACTGCCTCAGCAAGGATTCAGGTGTGGCTCTTCAGGCATCTGCGTCTTCATCTCTTGCATTATCTTCCTGCAGTGGCCCATTTTTGTTTTACTTGGACATTCAAAGCATCACAAGCATGTGGGTTGGAAAAGTAAATGAATAAGCATCTGTTCCTTCGACTCTTTGGTAGGAATGTTGTCTTACTTTTAGTTGTAATTGTGAAATTCAAGTTTCTTCTATTCCAGTTTCTGTTCATGAAGTTGAAAGTCAAAACCTGCTGCTGTGAGTAGGTCGTAATGAAAGGGTACCTCTTAGGTAACCAGAAATCCTCTTTGAGCAAGGGGAATCTGAGGAATTGTTTTTTCATAAAGCAGAGTTATATAGGTGACTCTTCATGTTTCATTGAAAGCGATTCATAACTGTTAGAATAAAAGTCTGCTTAGGTTTTCCAGCACTGATGGTAAATACTGCAATAACAAGGAAATCTCATACAGAACTGGCTGACTTAGTTACTGTTATCTTGATTTCTTGGAGATAGCACTTCAAATTCACTTCACCAGCTGCTCATTTGATATGTTTCTTAGCTGACTCACTACCAAGCCTCAAGCTAATTGATGCTGGCAACTTATGTGCTTACAAGAGAAGCCTTGATCAAACCCAATAGTATTATAAGTTGCTGAAATACCAGTATGAGGTTACACGTGTATGTATGTATGTACCAAGTGTTTGTTCCTTTTATGCCCTAGAAAAATACATCAGATGGGTCAGATTATATAGGTTTGTCTGACATTCATCTCCGACCACCTCCAAGTGTGGGTGGAGCACAGTGAGACTCGAAAGCAGGCTTTTGGGAGGCAGTCTGAAATAGGAGAACTTTTTGTCTCTGCAGAGCTCTGAGAACAGAACTGCTGGCTTTCTTTCAGTCTTCTATTCTCCCTTGTCTTTCTGATAAGCTGCCTAAAGGGGAAAAAAACCTAAACACAGGGGATGTGGGATTACCCAGAATGGTGCAAGATTCCTCTTTTTGTTATGGCGGTTCAATGGGAGTTTATAGATCACCAGAAATTTTGGAATTTTGCTCATTGTTAGCAGTTTCTTAATATGAGATTTCCCGGATGTGGATTACAGTTTCTAGCCTCCAAAATTAATAACTGCTATTTTTATTTACAGATTTTTCTCACTATTTTGATAATTTTGCCGTACTTGAGATGTAGCTTAAAGATGGAGTTTTGGTGGAAGCTCTTCTCTGTGAATAATCTAAAATAAAACCTATCAAAATGGATTTACTCCATGCTAGTAAAGTGGGAAAAGTTCTTTGTGTGGTATTCTCTATCATTTGTTATGTTTTCAGTAGCAAAATTACCTAAGATTCATTGAAAGATGGAGGAAAAAAAGATGGTTCTTGTGTTTTTTAATTTTTTTTCACTTTTACCTGTTCATACAATTACTCCAAACATGGATAATTTTCTCAGGCTAGTATAGTTTGTACATCGATAGAGAATCCAGTTAATTAGAACTTGGACCAACATGAAACTGTTCACTGAGATACCCAGATCATGCAAGGGAAATCAATAATGTGCTTCTCTTTTTTGTGAATTAAAAATATATTTAATTATACTGGTAGTGGCACGACTTTTCTTCCTTTTTCTTCCCAGCTCTTTCTGTGTTGTCACTTACTCGTTTTTCAATTTTTGTTCACTGTAGTTGGTGGAAACGTGGATTGGAAGCAGATAGCAAGTATTCAGGAATCCATTGGTGAAACCAGCTCCCAAAGTGTTGTCGTTGCTGTAGACAGGTATTGTATTGAATTTGTTGTTGTGACCTCAAGCTTTTTAACCACAACCTGTATACTCTGTGCTAAAAATGGGACATTAGTAATTTATTAATTTATTTGAAAAAACTTAATACTACCATATTAAAGTGCTTTTTGGTTTTGGACGGGGGCTTTCCCTTTTTTTTTTTTTTATGGATCATAGATATTTTTGCAAGCAAAGATTAGGCAAGAAGCCTTTTTACTTAAAAAAAAATTACTGCAGGAGAGTTGCAGAATGGAAACTGCTGTAGTGTCTGGTTAATCTTGATTTACTGTATTTAGTAACAGATAGCAAATCTCATTTTGCCTTAGTACAGAGGGCATTATTGACAGACCCTTTCTCTCCTAAACGTAATTACTGACTCCCTGCTTTTCTCTAGCTTATGTAGATGTTGTCTGAAATGACTGAAATTGTTATTCCAGTCTTCCTTTCTATGAATCACATTTATTTTAACTGGATTTGACCAGGCATAATACATATCATGAACATTCCTTGTTTCTATCATGAAGTACTGATCAGACTGGAGTGTTAATGGTCCCTGCTTGCTCAGCATATAAGAAATCAGAACACATCATTTTCTTAGTGGTTGTCAAAATTGATGAAGAGGTATCATTTTGAAGGCTTACAAACATTTTTGTGATTGAGGATAGGCAGTGAGATTGGTATTAGTTCATTGAAGGTTGCCTTGCAGTAAAATCACAGGAAGTGAACTGGAAGCTTAATGTCAAACACGTAATAATAGCTCTTTAGGTTTGCAGTGTCTCTCCCCACTTCATAATGGGAAGTGTTTCAGATATCTACTTGTCACAGCAGATGGGAATTGTGTGCTCTGGAGAAGTTTTACTTCTGTATTTGGGCAGGCATGATAAAAACTACTGA